AAAAAAAAAAAAAAAAAAAAAAAGAATAGGGATAGCACATTCTAGGGGTGGAAAGAAAAGGAGGGAAGACAAAGGATGGGATGACAGCAGGGTGGAGAATCCTCTCTGCCAGCTTAGAAAAAAATGGACTTTGAAACTAGAGGCCAGAAAGGACTGGTAGAGGGAGGGTGCAGCCCAGGATTAGGGCAACCAGGGAGAGTAACTGCAATCTCTGAGGATAGGCAGAACAAAGGACTACCTGGCACAGAACATGCACTTAATAAATCATTACTGAATGAGTGGACTCTGGCTGGAAGGGAGAACAATTGAAATTGAGCTCTTACCAAGGTAAGGCCCAGAGAACTCTGTCTTGCTGGAGCTCCCGGTCAGAGTGCCCCCAGTTCAGCTCCGGCGGAGGAGCGCTCTCACTCCCTGACCATTCCTGACCTATTTGGCCTTCTCCACAATTTCAACCCCAACTCAAGAGTTATTTAGAATTCTTCCTTGTCTCACATGTGCTTTCTCCTTACAGGAACTCATCTCATTCCCAAAGCCCTGTATCAGTAACCCCCAATCTATCCTGGAATGGGGAGCCAGGGTCCGGGGGTTGAGCACAGCTTCAGGCCTCTATGACTCAGTTCATATTTAGGGGCTAAGAGGCTAGGATGCCCATCTTTTCTTGATTTCATCGTCCCCACCACATGCAACTCATTGTACTTCTCTCTGTACTCTAGATCCTATTTTGACCCAAAAGCTTTTGCGGTCAAAGTTGGACTGAATTGATTTCAGAAGCAGCCTGGAGGGATGATTCTTCTGTGCTACAGGCCACCCACAGACAGCAACAAAGGAGCCAGGTGTGCAGGCAGCACCAGGCCCTTCCCACTCCCCAGGGCTGGGGTTAGGTAACTGACCTCCCCAGCACAGCTCCACAGCATTGACTGGGGAAAGAAAGGGTCTCCTACTCTAGAAGCTGTCAGGGCAGCGTTTCCCAAGCTTTATGCCTCCCTCCCTAGTTCTGTGTTTACTGTGTAGACTGAGTCAGGGTGACCTCAGGGTGATGCTTTCTGTCCTCATCCACCTGATCCTGTTAATGGCTCCTCATCACTAGTCTTTGAACTCAGTGGGATCTAGAGGGGTTCTACATCTATGGCAAATGCCTCTCTGATAAATGACTTTTAATATCAAGAGCTCTCTATCCCAGAATAGAGTGACAGCACTTTCTCATCACTTCTTACAGTTGAGGGCAGGGAGGCTCTCATCTACTCCCTGGAGCTAAAGCTTGAGGAAAGAAGCAGTCATGTTGGGACTCTAACAGTGTGCCTAATGAGGTACAGAGAATGCCCCAGCTGCTCACGGGAAGTAAGGGTTTGAAAACCCCCTGCCCCTAAATAAAACAACATTGTGTTAGTATCACAGCAGCCAGACTATCCTTTGCTACTTTGCCACAAAATATAGCTAATCCCAGAGGGAAGTCATTGGAACCAGTATGTGAAAAGGAGCCTGAATGGGAAAGGCTGACTGTATGACCAAATGTTCCTACCCTTTCCTTCTAAAAAGACAAAATACTGGTAGGAAGGGGGTTGCAAAGAGATGTGACCTGGTCTCACTATCCAAAACCACAGTCCTAAAATATGCCAGGGATAGGGGCCACTTCACTGACAAGAAGCCCAACCGCTTTCTCACCCTTTCCCACTTCTGCTAGAAGTCTTGAGCTGGAACAAAGTGAAGCCAAAGGCATTCTAGGCAATGGAATCTACTCACCTCAAGCCCATACCTATATGCTTTATCATGTTGCTTAGGGAGACGTTGTTAGCTTGAAAGGGTTTCCTCTTTTCTGTAAACTCATGAGCCAGGCAGATGCGCCAGCCAAAGGGAGGCACCTGGTAGCCCATAGCTTTACCCTCATAGGAAGCCATCAGCTGCCCAGAGTCCTCCAGATTGCAGCAGCCCGTCTCTTTTTGGGGTCGGTTGTCTTCGGGACTCTTGCAGTCTGTAACCTGCACATCCTTGGTGCTGCCAGTCTCTTTAGAGCAATAAACCTGTGGATCCTCTTTGGCACAGCTGATCTGCTCCGAGGCTGGGACGCCGGTTCCCATGTTCCCTGGATCCTGGGTTCCCATGACCTGGATGGCCCCAGGTCCCGAGCCCTCGGATACTAAGTATCTCGCCAGCCTATTCCAGATGCGGGCGCCGGTGGTTGTTAGGTATGGTCACGGAGGGCCGGGCGCTGGGGAATGCTTAGATGAGCTGGGATTTCTGTGGAGCCAGGGAGCTCTTGCTTCAGTGGCGGCAGCGACAGCAATGAAGCCGCCTTGGACTCTCCTTCGGTAGTCTCTGTAAATTCTGGACGGGAAGGGTCGGGCCTCGTCGTCATTGATTAGCTCGCCCGGTCAAAGGGCCACTGGGCCCGCGGAGAGGGGAGGAGCCGTGGGGCCAGCCCACCAGGCACCGCCCCCGGGACTGGCCCGCAAGGCACCGCCCCTGGGACCTCGCGGCGGCCTCGGCCGGGCCCTTGGGCCACGGCACCGGGTGCCCCAGGGTTGGGCGCCAGGTCCCGCCTGCCAGCTCCGGGGGAGCTCCCGCGCCCAGGTGCCAGCCCGTGGGAAGGTGACCCTGGGCACCGGGACGACCCGAGCCCTTTCCGGTTTGGCCGGCCGGGCGCTTCCGGCCGGAAGGGGCTCCGCGGAGGGGTGGGGGACCGAAGGGAAGTCCCGCCTCTGCCGCCTGGGGGACGCAGCCGACTGCGCCGCCGCCGCCAAACACCTGGCCGTGTCCCGGAGGGGAGGGCAGGTGAGGCCTTGGGGTGCCGATCTCTAGTGTCGACCATGCGAGGTGACTGGCGGCCGTGGTCTTGGGCTGGGACGTGGAATCTGGAGGGAAGGGGGAGCGGAGGCCAGCCTGCGAGCTCCGGGGGGGTGCCCAGGGAGAAGAACCTGGCGCACGGGGGCGGGGTCTAGGGCCCAGAGTGATGCCCTCCCGCTGGGCAGGACTGAGTCTGCAGCCCACTCCCTCCCACCCGCCTACCCCTCTTATATCCAGGAGCTCCCTCGGGCACCACGGTGCTGACCACCCCTGTCCTTAGTCCTCGGTCCTCAGCCCTCAGCCCTAGGTGCTCGCCGATACGCCCATCTCGGTCACGGTGCTGACCTCCGCCCTGCCTTGTTTCCTTCTAGATCTGATTCCGGAGCTGCCATGATTGAAGTGGTAGCAGAGCTAAGCCGGGGTCCTGTATTTTTGGCTGGGGAGGCGCTGGAATGTGTGGTGACCGTCACCAACCCCCTTCCCCCCACGGCCACTTCTGCATCCAGGTGGGGATGCTGACCCTGAAGGTTGGCCCTTTTGGGAAGACGCCAGATTATCTTTGGTGCCTAGGCAGAGTTCAGGTTGTCCTGTAGTGATATCACCTCCTCTTGCTTATTGTGCTCTCATTGTTGGAGAGGGATCTTTAACAGAAGATGTGGATGACATAGCTGTACGCTTTCCTTCCCCACCCCCGATTCCCCCTTTTACCCACAGTCTGCTACTCTTTAGTTAATGGTTTATCTTTGGGGTTCTGGATTTCCAGATCACTAGGACAGCCATCTAAACTTGTTGGTTAAGTGTCATTGGGAGCTTGGGAAAGCATTTGTGAGGTCAGGAACTACCTCTGATGCCTCCTTTTCCTCTTCCCACAGTGAGGCCCTGGCCTGGGCCAGTGCCCAAATCCACTGTCAGTTCCATGCCAGTGAGAGTCGAGTAGCACTGCCTCCCCCTGACTCTAGTCAGCCAGATGTCCAGCCTGACAGCCAGACTGTCTTTCTGCCACACCGAGGTTAGAGAGGGGCATTTGCCTGGGAGAGGGGGGCACAGGGTGTGTGTGGAGGCATTGTCACCCATGGGTGAAGTTGTTAATTGTTGCTTTTTTTTTTTTTTTTGAGGTGTGCCATCTTTTGCTGGTTTCGTTAAGCAAGCTCACATCTTTGTAAATGGTTTCTTTTTCTTTTTTCTTTCTCCTTTTTTTTTGAAGATGAAGTTTTGCTCTGTTGCTAGGCAGGAGTACAGTGGCACGATCTTGGCTCACTGCAACCTCTGCCACCCAGGTTCAAGCAATTCTCCTGCCTCAGCCTCCCAAGTAGCTGGGATTACAGGCGCGCACCACCATGCCCTGCTAATTTTTGTAGTTTTTAGTAGAGATGGGGTTTCACCATCTTGGCCAGGGTGGTCTTGAACTGCCGACCTCATGATCCACCCACTTCAGCCTCACAAAGTGCTGGGATTACAGGTGTGAGCCACTGCGCCCAGCAATTGTTGTTGTTCTTATAGTCCTTGTCATGCTGGGGATGTGGGAGAGCGTGACTATTACATTGTGGGTAGAAGACCATTCCCATTTCACAGCAGGGAAAGAGGGCCTGGCAGCCTTTCACTGTCTCCGATTGCCGTGCTCATTTTGTTCAGTACTGGACAATGGGTCATTAAATTACAGTCGTTCTTACCTTTTTCAGGTGAGAGGGGTCAGTGTATTCTTTCTACTCCACCAAAAATTCTATTCTGTGACCTGAGGCTAGACCCTGGAGAGTCCAAATCATGTGAGTGATTGTCCCCATCCCTGACTTGCCCTCTAAGTCTCCTGGAGGGAGGAGGACTCTGGTTCCTCTGGCTGCCCTGACAACTACTTCCCAACCAGACTCCTACAGTGAAGTGCTGCCCATAGAGGGACCACCCTCCTTTCGGGGTCAGTCAGTCAAGTACGTCTACAAACTGACCATTGGCTGCCAGCGTGTCAACTCCCCCATCACTTTACTCAGAGTCCCTCTGAGGGTTCTTGTGCTGACTGGTAAGCAAGGGTTCCTGGACGGAAGGGCTGGGGAAGGGCCATGCCAAAGCAGAAATTGTCTTAGAGGGCTTGCAAGAGGGGCTGCAGGGAAACTCCTGGTCTCAGTGACAGTGCTAGGGAGTTGGGAAGGGAGGGAGGGTTCTGGAGATAAGAGATGTACACCTCAGCCCTGGCACCCCTCACCTTCAGCTGTCTCAGGTTGGAATCCAAAACCCTAACCTCTGCTTTCATTTCTGTTCCCTCTCAGCATTACCTCTCCACTCATTCTTTCTCTAGGCCTTCAGGATGTCCGATTTCCCCAGGATGAGGCTGTTGCCCCATCCAGTCCATTCTTGGAGGAGGATGAAGGTGGGAAGAAGGATTCATGGCTAGCCGAGCTGGCTGGGGAGCGCCTAATGGCTGCCACATCCTGCCGCAGCCTCCGTGAGAATTCTTTCAGAATTGTCCCACCCCATCTGTCCCCTCATTGTATTCCCATCTCAGAGACGATCTCCTAACCACCACACACTTCTGTGGATCCACTGATACTTCACACCTCCAATTATAAAGAAAAACCTCACCTTTTGGCCTCTGGTGCCCAGTTCTGGACGTTTCCCAGTGTGTAGTCGCCAGGCTTATATTATCCTATTCTCCCCAGATCTATACAATATCAGTGATGGCCGAGGGAAAGTTGGGACATTTGGCATCTTCAAATCTGTGTACAGACTTGGTGAAGACGTGGTGGGGACCTTAAACTTAGGGGAAGGAACCGTAGCTTGTTTGCAGGTAAGAAGGGAACAGAGCTTCTGGGGTGCTGGGGCTGAAGGGCTAGGATGGAATGCTTGTATAAAGAGGGGTAGCATGTAGAAGGGGATAGTGGGGTCATCCAGGGTCCCTTGTAAAACAGCTTGAGGTTGGGCTGTCATCTCATCTACACTCAGCACTTCCTGTTAGCACACACCTCTCTCTTGCTTCCAGTTTTCAGTAAGCTTACAGACCGAGGAGCGTGTACAGCCTGAGTACCAGCGGCGACGTGGGGCAGGGGGTGTCCCCTCTGTGTCACATGTGACTCACGCCCGGCACCAGGAATCCTGCCTACATACAACCAGAACCAGCTTCTCCCTCCCAATCCCTCTCAGCTCCACCCCAGGCTTCTGCACAGCCATTGGTGAGACCCTGACTGCTACTGAAGAAGAGGGAGGGGGACAGTAAAATGCTGTGCTTAGGGAGGGTATAATGGATCCTGATTCCTTATACACACTCCCAGACATACCTACGTCCAGCCTCTGACCCTGAACACCTTCTCAGACCTTCAACCTCTACCTGTTTCTTAGATGTACTGACCCCTAAACTCCTAATGACTTGGTAGAACTCCTTCCCCATGCCTACCTACCAGGACCCTGTGATACACTGATTTTTGATTACTTCGTGCTACCTAGACCTGACTGCCTCACTCTGGGGTTATTAAGTACTTAATACTGCTATCTTCAGCTCACACCTATGGTTAATAATACCTGATTGCTTCAGAAAAAACCCTTAATCACAGCTCCCTGCTCTGTGACTTTTCCCTGTCTTCCTGGATACAGATTTTTTTTTTTTTCTCATTTGTATCTGTATCCTGTCATTGGTTTTTACTCTTGCTGGCTTCTAATGCTTCTACCTTAATCTTTTTCTTCCATAGTGTCCTTAAAGTGGAGATTGCATTTTGAATTTGTAACATCCCGAGAACCAGGATTGGTACTTCTTCCCCCTGTGGAACAGCCTGAACCTGCCACCTGGACAGGTCCTGAGCAAGTACCTGTAGACACCTTCAGCTGGGACCTCCCCATCAAGGTGCTGCCTACCAGCCCCACCCTGGCCTCATATGCTGCCCCAGGCCCCAGCACAAGCACCATAACCATCTGAAACTGGCCCATCCTGGTGCTAGTTCCTTCCGGATACTGAGAACTCAGCACCTGGACTCTAGTGGGAACCACTTTTTCCACCTGAGGTCCAATGGCGCGGACAATGAGAGTCAGCCTTTCAGCCATAGCATTAATTTATTTATTCAGAATACATTGGCAGCTGCTAGTGGTTTCCCTGGAAGTGGCAGCAGCAGTGAGCGGTCAGCAGATGGGTGATCAGTTGAGTTTAGCTGGAGTGGGGAGCAGGAGCCCCAGGAACAGGGGTGTTGGCTGAGCCCCACTCTGGGTCAGGCCCTCCCCCTTTGCAGGGTAGCCGAGGGTCAGATTTTTGCACCAACGAGAACTGGCAAGTTCCTGCCTCCTGACGTACCTCACACCCAGCCGGGAAGTCAATGGGATGCTGGGACCTGAGGAACCAAGGATGAGGGAAGGAGTCAGCACAGTGAAAGGCTGCCTTTATCCCTGCCCATGTTCCATCTCTCACAGCTTTCCCCCGAGAGTCTCCTTGAGTGGCCTCTTGGTCCTCCTAACTAAGCTCTCACCTACCATATGTAGGCTTTTTTGTTATATAACAGGAGTATTTTTTCTCCAGGTCCAACCCAACCTCCCCCGATTTATAGCCTAAAGCCTTATCTTTCACACTAGTCTTGGTCCCTTCAGGGTCAGCCCACCTCGTACTGCTCTTCTGTTCATTCTTACATCACAGCAATCCAGTCACTCCGTGATCATCCCTCAGTCACTCAAATCAGAGTCATTCTCTGGTCATCTTTAGTCACTCACGTGTCACAGCAGCCCACACCGACAGGATGCAGACAGGTGCAATGGAAACAGTCCTTGCGGAGCCAAGACTCACCCAGGGTGAAATATTTCCCCTCATAGTGACAGGGGGCTAGGGAAGAAAGGGAAATGTTAGTGGGTGTAGGAGTGCTGATGAGAGGCAGAGTCTCTTCTGGTCTTGGGTGGAGAAAATAATTATGTACTATCCCCATATTTAGCTTTTCTTTCCTGTTTCACAGCTGGAGGGAGCCTGGGTATTCTGACACAGGATCATCTCTAAGGCCCTGTCCTCCCAGTGCCCTCTCTGCTCCTCCTTCTTTCCTAACACCTCACCCCATTTTACCTTGAGCTTGGAAGTAACACTTGCTGTAGACTCCTGGGTGCAGGAGGAGTAGAGACATCACCAAGCAGATGATTCCCCAGCCTCCTAGGATCCCCTTGGCCTGTCCAGCCCAGAGCATCCTCAGGGCCATTGCTGCTGCACAGCCCTCTCGGACCTCGGCCTCTGCTCAGCTACTCTAGTCTTGACTCCTTGACTTTGCTTTGTGTTGCTCCTTGAGTCTTAGTTTCTCTCTTTCTTCCCTGGGCTCCTGTCTCACACTATCTCCCTGCCCTCTGCTCTCACAGGCTGGGGATGTTTATAAAGTGAGGACCCTGGCCCCCTGCTGAGCAGAGCTGGAAAAGCTGTAACTCTGTTTCCTGAGGTGAGGGCATGAAAACAAGAGATCTAGCTTTAACAAGCTGTGAGAGCTGATTCATGCCCCGGCACAGCTAGAGGGAGGGAGGTGGCCATGGAGGGGGCACTGGATTGGGCACTTCCCCAGCAAGGAGGTAGGAGGGGGTGAGGGCCCCCAGGTGGTCTCCAAATCTCTTCCCTGACCTGGAGACAAGGAAGCATTCCACCTTCCCCTTTTCTCCCCCACTGCCACCACCAGGGGTGTGTATGCTGGGATCCCTGCCTGGACCGGAGGGAGGCATTTCCTGGGGATGGTTAATCCTGTGCCCCAGCCAAACCCAGGAGCTGCAATAGGGTGCGACGGCCAGGCTCCAGGAGAGCGAGCAGGCACCTGGAGTGGAGACTGTTTCCCTCAGACCCTAGGGCAGGGTTTCCCTAATGTATCCAAGAAATAGGGCTGCCCCTCAGAGGTGATAGAGGTCTCTTTTCCTCAGGCATTCCAGAGGTGAACTGTCCATTGCTTATCACCCTCAAACATACAGCAGATTCGGGATCATCCCACACCTGGGGATGGTTCTTTCCCCCTTTCAAAGAGGAGCATCTCTAAGTGCCCTGATGGGAGGAATCACTCCAGTTTCACAGAGGTGTCCTCTCTTTCCTTCCATATGTAATGAAGTGAGGTTTTTCGGAATTTGTCATTTAGCATCCTCCTTTGAGTTTCCCACAGGTTCTGGAGGATCTCAGGATGGATGATTGAGAGCATAGGCTGTAGAGATAGTCTCCTTGGATTCAGAACCTGACTTCACTTAGCTGTGTGACCTGTCCAGATTACTTCACCTTGCTGAGACTGTTTGCTCATCTATAAATTGTGGGTAGTATTGCCAACTCATCGGGCTATTATGAGGATTAAATAAGATGATGTGTGCAGTGCTCTTATCACCATCTCTGGTGCGTAAGCATCAGAAAATAGCAGTTGCTGTCATTGGTACTAAAGCTCAGAGGCAAAATGGGTGACATTCATTTCTTTGAATGACAGTAAGCAGTTTGTGTGTAGCTAAGGGCTTCTGTTGGGGATGGCTCCCTCCTGGCATAGGCCTTTGCCCCTTTCACAGTCATGCTCCATCTCAACAGTCCCCAACCTTTTTGGTACCAGGGACTGGTTTTATGGAAGACAAGTTTTCTACCAGCAGATGGAAGGGGATATTAGCGTAGGCGGGGGGTGGGAGGGGTAGGGGATGAATTTGGGATGAAACTGTTCTACCTCAGATTATCAGGTGTTAGATTCTCATATGGAGAACACAACCTAGATCCCTTAGATGTGGAGTTCACAGTAGGGTTTGCACTCCTGTGAGAATCTTGTGCTGCTGCTGATCTGACAGGAGGAGGAGCTCAGGCGGTAATGCTCACTCACCCACTGCTCACCTTCTGCTTTGCTCCCATTTCCTAATAGGCCACGGACTAGTACTGGCCTGTGGCCTGGGGGATGGGGACCCTTGCTCCATGTCAGCTTTCCCACCTCTTTCAAAAGCAGGTACCTCCAGGGGCATTTTGGTTTTGGCCCTTGTGCTGACTTCTGAATGTTTGGTTTGAGAAACTGTTGCCAATAAGCCTACTTTCCCCAGATCCGCACCCTCGTCTCTATGCTGGGACAAGCTCTCCTTTTCTCATCAGCCTGCCAGCTAACTTTAAGTCTCCTGTTTTTCCTCATTGGGATTCAGATCCATTTCTTCCCGTCTCTGCTCATGGGACCTCTCCAGTTCTTTCTCGCCACTCTCCTGCTAGCCATCTTGTTGGCACTAAAGGCCCTGGTCAAACTGGATTTCTTTCATTTTTCTACACTTCAAAGACCCATGTTCCAGGTATTCCCCACAGGGACAGTCTTTTTGGCATTTATTTTGTTTTTCTAAGTTTTCAGTTCCATTTACTCCAAAGACTCACTTCCTGCCACCTAGTACATCAGATACAACTGCTTCTGGCTGACTTTTCATGGGGGCCACCCTGCCTGTCACCTCTTCACTGTTCAGAAATGACTGTCAGTACACCTCAATCTCCCTTGCTGTCCTCTTCCAAGAAGACCTCTGAGGTGGATGGAGATGCAGAATGGACCTCATGTTCACCCTAGTCGGGTCTGATACCCTTTCCATTTCAGAAGAGTGCCAACAAAAAACTCACAGTTGAAGCAGGGTGCTCTGAGGTTGGCTGTGGCGTGGGGGGTACTACATGGGCCTGCTGTCTGGACTGGAGCAGGTGGATTCGAAGACATTTCTAGCACGAGGGCCCAAAGGTCTTGTCAGTGGCCAGTAGCTCTGTCGCCTTTCCCAGAGGGGGTCCAGCGGACACCCTGGATGGCCGGGCCCTGGACCACCTTCTGCTTCTGCAAGCTGGAGCCAGCCCGATAGGGGGCGGACATGAGTAGGGAGCTGGGGAGCTGGAGAGCATGAAGGTGGGGGGATGATGCCAAAGGGAAGGAGAGCCCCAGTGGGGATTGGTGCGTGTGTGGTAACGGGGACAGAAATGAGGGTTCATCGCCTGTGGCAAAGATGAGGTAGGCATATAGGGGCTTCTGGAAAGCTAAAGGCTGGGCTGAGCCAGCAGTCCTCTTCCAGAAGTTGGGGGGGCAGTGCAGAGGTGTGGGTCGAGCCCGCATGCGTGCCTGCTGGAGAAGGGATGAGTGGTGAGGACCCGGCCTGCTGGGTCCTGGGGGCGCGGTGGCTGGCCTGCAGGGCCTGGAGGGGGCGGCTGGCGCGTGCTGCACGCACAGGGACAAGGAAAACATCCGCCGGAGGCCCGGCCGGGCAGCGCTCCAGCCTCGGGGCAGGTGTGCGGCGAGGAAGTGAGCGCATTCCGGCCCCCCCGCGCCGCCGGCCCTCTGGTGAGTCACCACCGACCCCCGCTGCCCCGGAGGGTCAGTTAAGGAGCCAGGAGGGTTTCTGGGAGCAGAGGGTCACTGAGTGGGCTTCTGTCCTGGTGTCGCTACGGGTGCGAAATGGACACTGAACAGTCTGACTGAATGGAGGCAGGTGGGGAGTGAGCCCCTGAGAGAACCTGGCGGGCTGAGAGCTGACCCCAGGGCAAAGAGGGGCCCCGGTGAGGTGAAAACTTGGAGTCTGCGCAGGTGGCAAGGCTTAGAAAGGGAGGGGAGCCGGGTTGATTGTGGTGACAGAGGAAGAAAGTGCGCCAAGTTAGGCCTGGGAGAACTGAGGGACCTGAGCAGGGACAAGGGAGAGCAACATCAGGTGGGAAGGCGGAAATGGGCAAAACCCAGGCATCAGGTCTGGCCGGAGGCTGGCGCAGACAGTGAAGGGTAGGTTTTAGGGAGAAGGGGGAGTTAAGATTATTTGGGTACATTTTGGGATTTGATCTCACAGGTAGAAGGGAGCCTGCTGGTCTCAGCAGGAAGAGTAACGATGGCTTCAAAGCAAGGTTGTCTGTGTCTTGGATTACTGTCTGCTATTCAGCCTTTGCCAAAAAATTTGGCACTGATCTGCACATTTTTGTAGCCATTTAAAATTGTATGACTCTATCAAACAAGTAATTTTGGTGAATTTTTTAATTAAAAAATTAAAAAATAAAAATAGAAAAGTTGCATAGTCTAATTCAGTGTTTGACTTAAAACCCAAAGTGACGCTCTCAGATTGGTAATATGGTGTCAAGCCTTTTGTTTGGCTTTTGTGCCATTTTCCCCTCACTGACTTGTTTGAATTCTTTGTGGCTGATGCTTCAGTTTTTCTGTATCAGGAGTGTTGTTGCACTTCTACTTTTCCTGTCCCTTATTTTACTGTCTTTATTTTTAACCTTTTTTCTGTGTAGCCCTCTAAACTCCCCTATATATTTTGAACCAAGAAAAACATTTCTTGGAATGGGACTACAGTATACAAAGACAAATAACTCACAGTTTTGCTGTATATGTTAGGTTACTGTCTTCTTTGGATGTATATGTAACTATAGTTTCTGTATTCTGTGGCTGATAGAAAGTTAAAGCTGTTTAATTCACCATAGTATTTGTACAACAGCAATTTATTAGTCTGACTTCTCTTCTAAAATCAATACTAAAATGGCATTTTGTACTTGTCCCAGAGACACTAATTCTGTCATGATCCTTATGATCTGTGTTACGTTGGGCCAAAGGCGATTACAAAGACTAGGATCTTTATAATTTATTTTAAAGATCTTTAAATTCTGTGTTGCCTTTGGTCCCAAACAAGCAAATCTGGATCAGTGTCTGGATCAGTTAATGAAAAAAGAAAGAAAGAAAAAAGAAAAGAAAGAAAAGAAGAAAAGGAAAGGAAAGGAAAGGGGAAAGGAAAAAGGAACGGAGGAAGGAAGGAAGAAAGGAAGGAAAGAAAGAAAGGAAAGAAAGAAAGAAGAAAGAGAGAGAGAGAAAGAAAGAAGAAGAAAGAAAGAGAAAGAAAGAAAGAAAAAGAAAGAAAGAAAGAAAGAAAAAATAAATGTCTTATTTTGGGCCCTGTTGCTTATTCTCATGCTGTTTCAACCCCAGCCCTACCCTATTCCCAGTGTCCTTTACCTTCATTCTTTCTTTGCTCTGCTGGGCATCTTTAGAGGAAAACTTCACACCGACTTCCTCTACTATAAATTCTCTCCCTCCTCTCAACCCTACACTTCTCTTTGCCAACATACACCACTACTGCTTCACTGATTTTTTTTTTTAAGCCCACAGCCCTTTCTGGCTCTTTTCCACCTTTAACACTCTTATGTTGAAATCCTCTCTTTTTCCTCCTTTCTCTTTGGTAAGACCTCAGACTTTTAAAAATGCTAGGCTTGATTGTTTATTCTGCATGGTCCGCTTCTGCCTTCCTTCCCCTTCTATTACTCTTTTCTTATTCTAGACTTTAAACTCAATTACGCTTGCCTTCACCAAAGCCTTAACCTTTCCTATGATTAGAAAAAGATGCTTATGTTTCCATTATTTTTCCTGCAAGAAAATGCATTCTCAAATTCATATGCACTTCAAACTCTCCTCCCAATGTTTTGCATCCAGAAGCATAATGTGGCTATTATTGTGAAGTCCATTTAGTGACCGTTGAAGCTTGGTGTTATGCCAGGCACTGTATAGTGAATTTCATAATGCTGGTGCCAGATTTCTGAATTATTACAGACAGCAGATGATAGGCTGGGTGCAGTGGCTCAGGCCTGTAATCCCAACACTTTGGGAGTCCAAGGCAGGCAGATTGCTTGAGGCCAGGAGTTCGAGACCAGCCTGGCTAATATGGTGAAATTCTGTCTCTAAAATTACAAAAGTTAGCCGGGCATGGTGGCATGTGCCTGTTATCCCAGCTACTCTGGAGGCTGGGATGGGAGAATCGCTGGAACCTGAGAGGCAGCGGTTGCAGTGAGCCAAGATTGTGCCACTGCACTCCAGGCTGGGTGACAAAGTGAGACCCTGTCTCCAAAAAAAAAAAAAAAAAAAAAGGAAGAATTCTTTGATGTGCCATTGTTTCTCCACTTTCCCTTCCTCCCTTCCCTCTCATGATCTCTGCTCAGTAAAACCAAGGTGCATTTTCTGGACCCACCTATCTTGGGGGTGATTAGTAGGTAAAGGGTTGTAAATACTTATAATTTTTCTCCTTTCTGATATAATTTTTGACCTCCTTGTAGAAGCCCCGTCATCTTATCTTTGCTGGAGAATTTTTAAGCATTGTTTTTTGAGACAGAGTCTCACTCTGTTGCCCAGGCTGGAGTGCAGTGGTGCGATCTCAACTCACTGCAACCTCCACCTCCTGGGTTCAGTAATTCTTCTGCCTCAGCCTCCAGAGTAGCTGGTATTACAGGCAAGCGCCACCACGCCCGGCTAATTTTTTGTATTTTTAGTAGAGACAGGGTTTCACCATATTGGCCAGGCTGGTCTCGAACTCCTGACCTCGTGATCCACCCATCTTGGCTTCCCAAAATACTGGGATTACAGGCGTGAGCCACCGCGCCCAACATAAGCATTCTTTTGCAGAAGAATCGCTAATGTCCTTTTTTCATCCAGATCTACACTTGA